GGCCGAGATGCTGGGCGCCCGCCGTCCGCGCCTCGCCAGCGCTCCCCCAGGCGGCCCGCGGCGGCGCCGAGCGGCAGGAAGCGGCTCCGCTCAAACCGGTTTCAGCTGCTCCAGACCAAACCGCCAGGCCACCCCGCGGGGCGGGGCCGGAGGGCGGCAGGGCGGAGCCTGACGTCACGTTCGGCGCGTCCCAGCCAATCGGCGGCTGCGCGCGGGGGGGCGGGCTCTCAAGTTCCTGGAGTGGACTAGCGGCTTCGGCTGGGTATCCCCGGGGTCCCCCGCCCCCAGTCCCTGACGCCTACCTTGGCGGGTGGGGCCCGCCTGGAGGAGAAGTGCCTCGTGGCGTGGTGCGCGGAAACTGTCCTAGGAACTACCAAGTGCGGAGGTTGGAGCAGCAGTTCTGAACTGCACTTTTCCCTCCGTTTGAAAACGAGAGAAATTAGTAGTTCTGATGTTTTCTGGGAATTTTCTGTTACAAAACAACAGTCACCGTTGGATCAAATCCTTAAAGTTGAAAACAAACGGTTAGGTCACCTAACTGTTGGGAGTTTATACCTTTGCCACGCAAAATGTGGTCTACAAGCCAGCAGCACCTGGAAGCTGCTAGAATTGCAGACTCACAGGCCCATCGCAAACCTGTCTAATCAAATCGCGTTTAGCTACATGCCCACGTTATTGGTATGCAAGTTAAAGTTCAAAGGGATGTTCCTGAAAACGCCCTCCTTGCAAAAGTCGTAGTTCTTTATTTTCTGAAAAATATAGACCCTGTCAAAGTTGTTTTAAAAGCAGTTTTTTTCCCCTTTGATGCCCCCCTCCAAATTATTCAGTATTTGCCACTTATCTAAGTTAAACTGTTATCAGCATCAAAGATAAATTCTGGTTAAGTACAATGTAAAATTGTGTTATCAAATTACATTTAAATCAACTGAAGTATTGAAAAGTAAAAAGAACCACCTTTTCAAATGTGTTAAGTTCTCTTACAGTAAAAGCTCAAGTTTCAAGTTGGTTCCAATGGGCCTCCTGAAAGGTATTTGGAATAGATGAGTTCCAAGTACAAACGGTTTCTGGTCTTATAAATCAGATTGTTCCTGACCACACTTGATATTTGAGCTTGAATTGCAGTTAAATTATTATGCACCTTCTGTCAGTGAAAAGAACCCAAACTCTGGGTAATTTAAAAAGGCTTATTCTGGTGGGGTACGATGGCTCAGCCTGTAATCCTAGCACTCTGGGAGTCTGTGGTGGGTGGGATTATCTGCACTCAGGAGTTGGAGACCAGCCTGAGTCAGAGAGAGACATCATCTCCAAAAATAGCCAGGCGTTGTGACAGGCGCCTGTAGTCCCAGCTACTTGGGAGGCTGAGGCAAGAGAATCCCTTAAGCCCAAGAGTTTGAAACTGCTGTGAGCTGTGACAACATGGCACTGTATCAAGGGCTACAAATAGGTGCAACCATGACCTGAAGAGCCACATGCAAGAAGCCTTGAGTAAATGGTCTCCCCATGGTTGGGTTGTAGTTTGGTTTTATTTATTTCAAGGAGACAAGAATTATACATAAAGTCATAAATCAGTTCATTGGTTTGGCGGGAAAAGGCAGGGAAGTACAAGTGCTAAGTGGGTTTAAGGATTCTTTGATTTGTGTTTGGTTAAAGAAATGAAGCTCTGAAGGGTTGGAATTTTTTTTTTTTTTTTT